TCACCTGGATGTGATTTTTTTTTGGGGGGGGGTCCACTTGTGGGGCCTGAACTCTGGGCCTGGGCGCTGTCCCTCAGCTCTTCAGCTCAAGGCTAGCGCTCTACCACTTGAGCCATAGTGCCACTTCCGGCTTTTTTCTTTTTGCTTATGTGGTGCTGAGAAATCGAACCCAGGGCCTCATACATGCAAGGCAAGCACTCTACCACTGAGCTACCTTCCCAGCCCAAAAGACCTTTTTTAGGTCAGGATATGGTAAAGACACTTGAATATCTATGTTCATTGCTGATCTATTCACAATAGATCAGCAATGAATGAGTGGGTCAAAAAATGTGGTATATATGTAACTATGGAATTTTACTTATCTATTAGGAAAAAATAGTTTTATATCATTTGCAGGGAAATGCATAGACATAGAATAAATCATATTAAGTGAAGCAAGCCAGGTTCAGAGAGACAAATGGCATATTTTCTCTCCTATGTGGAAGCTAGATCTAAAATGCAAATATGCATGATAACATGTATGGGGCTCAATACATTTACACACAAACTGACTAAAGGAGGATATACTTAGGGGAAGAATCCAAAAGTATAACTTCTCTAAACAAGTAATCTACTGTTTATGAACATTTTTACCAGGAAGTGGACACATGTTGCGGGGGGGGAGAGGGCAAAGGAGGCAAAGAAATGGAGGGATGAAGGGTGAGCAAGTACACTCATGGCATTCAATATACACTATGGAAAAAATGAAATACGTAACTTGAGAGCAGGGATGGGATGGGAAAAATGGAGAAGAATGAAGGATGCAGTGTCATTGACTCACACGCACTGTACTTATAACCTGACTTACGGAATTGTAACCTCTTTGTACAACAACTTAATAATATCATTTAAATTATTTGATTTAATTTAAAAATTAAATTTAAAAGACCCCTTTGGGCCCCAGAGTTTCCCATTCTGTGGAAACACCACTCTGGCTTGTCCCTGGCACACTCCATTTCCTGCGTTGAGAGCATCCATCAGTCTATGTGGAAGTGGCTTCATGGATTCACTGAGGGCCTTCCCCTTCCTCAGAGCCATGACATCCCCGGGTTCTAGGGAGGGAGATATACGTTATAATAGCAGATGTGAGCTCCCTCATCACAGAAGACAGAGTATCAACGAGGGCATACTGCACTCATTCCTCTTTGCCACAAACTGATGAGACAAGGAGTAAAATCACAATTTGAAGAGAAAGGAAGTGACCTCCAGGGACTCCCATTCCTTCCTGGAAGTCTCTGAGCCTGTGAATAACAGAGGTGAAACTGGGAATGGGTGGAGTCTGTACACAGCTCTCTGTGCAACCTCTGCCCAGTGGCCCAGAAGCATGTGCTGGATGCCCCACTTCTCCATGGAGCAGGCCTGTCTGAAGATCTGCTGACCCTGGGGAACCTCAGTGCATAGCTTACCTCAAACCAGAAGCAACAAATATAACCAATGAACCAAATCACATCCGCTTATAGCCACGTGCTGAGAGCTAACACCTGTAACCTTAGCTACTCAGGAGGCTGCAATCTGAAGATGGCCATTCAAAGCCAGCCTGGGCAGGAAAGTTCCTGAGACTCTTAGCTCCAAGTAACCACTAAAGAGCTGGAAGTGCAGCGGCAGCTCAAGAGGTAGACACCAACTCTGAGTAGAAAAAGCTAAGGGACAGTGTCCTGACCCTAAGCTCAAGTCCCAGTACTGGCACAACAATAAGTAAAAGAATAAACAGTCCTTGCAAAGAACCAATGTTCAGACAGAGGCAGAATCTCTTTGAAGTGGCTCTTTAACTGCTTCTAGTTCACCTCCCCTGGACTCCCCCAGGCCCTCCAGCAGGCTCAGGGGCATCTCATGCTAAGTTGAGACTGATGCCTCTCCTCTCCCGGACTCCCCTGCTGGCTATGCAGGCTCCCATCTAGACCTTCTAGGGGCTCCTGCTGCCATAGCAAACCATGTATGACATTCATGACACATTCCCTGCTGTGACCAGGAAGCCAAGAGACTTGAAACTTAAGTAAAAACTGGTGAGGATGGAAAACAGCCTCTCCCTAGTCCTGGTCTGCCTCCACTATGGGGAAAGCAGTCATCTGTGTGCTTCAGACACTCCCCCGCCCCCTCAACAACAACCCTGAGGAAAAACATCTCTGGGTGAGACTATCTGCAAAAAACAACTCTCAATGCTGGGCACAAGTGGCTCACACCTGTAATCCTAGCTACTCAGGAGGCTGAGATCTGATGATCAGGGTTCAAAGTCAGTCCCAGCAGAAAAGTCCTCAAGAGAGTCTTATCTTCAATTAACCACTCAAAACCTGGAAGTGGTGGTGTGGCTCAAGTGGTAGAGCACTAGCCTTGAGCACAAAGAGGCTCAGGGATAGCGCCCAGGCCCTGAATTCAAGACCCCCAACTGACAAAAACAAACAAACAAACAAAAAACTCTCAAAAGCCAGCTGCTGGTGGATCATGCCTATAATTCTAGCTATTTGGGAGGCTGAGATCTGAGAATCACAGCTTGAAGCCAGCTGGGGCAGGAAGGTCCATGAGACTCTTATCTCCAATAAACTACCAAGTAAGCCAGAAGTGGAGCTGTGACTCAAGTGGTAGAGCACTAGCCTTGAGCAAAAAAGCTCAGGGACAACATGCCCAGGTCCTGAGTTCAAGCCTCAGGACTGGTATAAAAATAAAATAAAATAAACCCTCTCAGACATAGAACTTGTATGGCCATGAGAGATGAGAGCCGGACCTCAGGGACAGGCCTGTAAACCCCAGACCTTGACCTCAGTCCTGCCCAGTGTGGGGCTGAGCCCCCAGGCTGGTGTTGAGAGCACATGGCACCGGGCTGCCTCAGTGACTCTCAGAAAGGGTGGACAGGTGTTGAAGAAGCAATGGGGACCAGGGACACCTGCATGGCAAGCAGAACTCCAGAGGTGCCCCCACCCCGAGAACTTCAGCCCTGGTAACCCTGACATACACTAACCTAGGTATTGTGCTGAAGGGATTTCATAGCTGAAATTAAGGCTATAACACAGCTGATCTTAAAAGAAGATTTTCATGTGTTAGTTGGTAAGCCCATGCTGAGTGCCATAGCCACAACAGCAGAAACTGAGGGAATTCAAGCCAGCTCTTTCCCCCAACCCATGCAACAGCAGGAGCAGGTTCACATCCTCCAGGAGTCTGCCTGGAGCGGGTCCCTTGGGGGGACATCGGCGGTCTCAGAGACCTGCTCCTGCTCACCTTAGGTTCTCAGCTGAGCTCGTCACCTGCTCCTGGCAGTCCATCCAGGCCACTCAATCTGTAGGCCAGGATCAGAGCCACCCCACGGGCAGAGCACCCCTCAGCCCCATGCATGCCTCTCCAAGTGTGCCCTGTCTCCCCTCATCTGTTGTGCAGGGTGTCTCTTCCACTGACATTCCTGTGTGAGAGCCCAGCTCACTAGTGAGACTGCAAAGCCCACCATTGCTCAGGCCTCTTGATTTGGGGGAAAGAAAGAAAGTTGAGTATGGATGTGTGTGTGTGTGTGTGTGTGTGTGTGTGTGTGTGTGTGCATGTGCCCTAGGGCTTGGATTAGAGCCTGGCCACTGTCCCTGATCTCTTTTACTCAAGGCTGGTACTCTGTCAAGCCACAGCTCTACTTCCAGCTTTTGGGGAGTTAATTGGAGATAAGAGTCTTATAGACTTTCCTGCCTGGGCTGGCTTCAAATTGTGATTTTCAGATCTCAACCTCTTGAGTAGCTAGGATTACAGGCATGAGCCAATGGCACTAGGTTGAAAATTAAGTCTTTAATGAGCACCTCACATCTACCCCATTCTGATCTAACCTCTTTCTTTCACCACCCCAACAAAGCCTGACCCAGAGTAGTAGGAAAGATCTGCCATATGCTCCATGGCATCTGCTGTTTATCATGTGGTCAAGTTGAGATTTGAACCCAGGTCTGCTTTCCTGTAAGATATATGCTTCATAATCTTCTATTCCACCCTTACACTTGAGCAAGAGGGCCCTATTCTGGACACCCTACTTTATGAAGGTCCCCGTATGGCTTGGATGAATGTACCTCAAAATTCCATATGTAAAGGCTTGGTCCTTAAGATAACATAGTAGGAAGTATGGTAGACATGTAAGAGGTAGAGCATATTGCTAGCCTGGGCAGAAAAGGCCAAAGGCTCTTATCTCCAATTAATCACAAAAAAAACTAGAAGTGGAGGTATGGCTAAAATGATAGAGCATCAGTAAAAAAGCATGAGTAAAAAAGCTAATCAAGAGCACAAGGCCCTGAGATCAAGTCACAGTACTGGCACATACATGCAGATACACACATACACACACACAACACACACACAAGACAAAGAAAGAAAGAAAGAAAGAAAGAAAGAAAGAAAGAAAGAAAGGAAGAAAGGAAGAAAGGAAGAAAGGAAGAAAGAAAGGAAGAAAGAAAGAAAGAAAGAAAGAAAGAAAGAAAGAAAGAAAGAAAGAAAGAAAGAAAGAAAGAAAGAAAGAAAGAAAGGAAGAAAGAAAGAAAGAAAGGAAGGAAGGAAGGATCCGGTGGGGCTTGAACTCTGGGCCTGGGTGCTGTCCCTCAGCTCTTCAGCTCAAGGCTAGCACTCTACCACTTGAGCCACAGCGCCACTTCCGGCTTTTTCTGTGTATGTGGTACTGAGGAATCGAACCCAGGGCCTCATGTATGCAAGGCAAGCGCTCTACCACTGAGCCATCTCCCCAGCCCAAGATCAAGAATTCTTAACTTAAAAGGGGCCCCTCAGATTGCTGTGAAAGTCAAGGTAGGAAGTTCCAGATTTCGCCTAATAAGTTGTTAGTTTAAGTGCCTGGCCCTGGGCCCACAAATTTTAGAGCCTATCCTTTTGCCCACTGATCAACTAGTAAACAGTTTTAATCATGAGTGGTGATCTCCCTTGCCACATGAGATAGGCCAGCTTGGTTCTCTCCTGTAGGAAAGCTCTTCATGTCTAAGCAGGGTGGCATGTATTACCTTTTCTTGATCCAGAAGCTCCTGTAAAATCACTTGTCTTTCCTGACACAGCTCCAAGAAATCTTCTGAGTGTAGACTTTCGTGCAAGGCAGGAAAGAATGTCAGCTGTGTGCAGTCTACAGCCACCTCATCAGGCTCCCTGTCATCTTCCTTGGGCATCAGGTCTTCTGCAGTATCATAAAAGCACACACAGTTTGGGCATGAGCAGTCTGGTATCCCGTCATGAGGGAGGGAGTGCAGCATTCACCCGTGTCATTGAGAAGAAAGTCAACGTTCTAGGACTGACGTGCACAGGGTGGCTTGCCACTGCTTCCAAAAATTAGACAATCCCTGCCCCCTATCCTGTGCTATACTGGTTACCACACCTGATAACTGACTCATCTGGGTATGCCCAGACCTACCCCCAGCCTCTGCAACTTCAAATTTCAGTCAGAAAAGCAGCTCAGTGTGTGTGTGTGTGTGTGTGTGTGTGTGAACTAGGACTTAAAACTCAGGACCTGGGTACTGTGTTCGGCTTTTTTACTCAAGGCTGGTGCACAACCACTGAAGCCACAACTCTACTTCTGGCTTTTTGGTAATCCATGGGGTATAAAAGTCGTACATCCTTTCCTGCCCAGGCTGGCTTTGAATCATGATCCTCAGATCTCAGCCTCCTGAGTAGCTAAGCTTACAGGCATGAGCCACTGGCACCTTGCTTATCCATTCTTTTACAAGAGTGTTGATTGTTCAAAACACAGCAGCAGCATCTTCTTATTGTAAAAAAGGAGACAGCTCTCACCAGTGTACAGTCCCCTGTAAGGAAGCTCTTCTCTGTGCCTGACCCTTCAGGTAACATTTATCCATCCAGTCCTAGACAATGTGTAGGCATGTCAATGAAGAAATGACCTTTTTCTGCCCAAGGTCACACAGCTGCTAGAAATAGGGACAGGAGCTAAACAGAGTGGCCTTTTAATCTGTAGGTTGTCTGGCTTCCCAAATATTTTTTGTCTGTATAAGTATATGTACACATATCTTATTAATTTTTAAAAAGCTAATAATATGTCATTTATACTTTTTCTTCACTAATACTTTTCACTCAAGAGTACATCATGGGCTGGGCACCCATGGCTCAGGAGATCTGAAGTCTGTGAGACTCTTATCTCCAATTGACCATAAAAAATGCCAGAAGTGGAGCTGTGGCTCAAATGGTAGAAAGCTAGCCTTGAACAAAACAGCTCAGAGACAGTGCCCAAGCCCTGAGTTCAAGCCCCAGGACTGGCATACACACACACACACACACACACACACACACACACACACACACACACACACACTGTGGTCACATTTCTATTCCATTTAAATTTTCTGCACAACCTCAAAGGCTGTGAAATGCTCTATTATTAGGTTTTTATTAAATGATCTATTATTATCACTAACCAACCCATCCTATTTTTCAGAGAGGCAATAGGTTCAATGTTGGCCATTCCAGGGGTGGCTGCCCACCGTCTTTTCTGCACAGGCGTAGATTTCGTTTCTAAGGCAGGGGCCTGTGCATCCCAGCAAAATGCACAGCTGTGTGGTCTCGTGAACCTGCCTCTTCCCCATCCACATGGTCTCAGAGCAGCCACATTGCTCATGACTACAAAGCATGAACCACGTTGCTGAACCACAATCAGAATTTCTCAATTTGAAACTGTCCCCTCAGGTTGTTACAAAGGTCAAGGCAGGAAGCCACCAAAGATTTTACCCAACAATTTGTTAATTTGAGTTGCATCTTTAAAGGCTTCTAGAGACAACCTTGGGGTAGACACACAAACTTAAAAGCCTGTCCTTTTGCTCATTGATTGACTAATTAATAGTTAGATCACCCTTCTCACGTACATAAAGATACCTTGTTTCTCTCCTATGGAACATTCTTAGTGAGTAACCAGGGTGGCATATATTATCCTTTCCTTGATCAAGAAGCTCTTGTAAAATCACTTGTCTTTCCGGACTTAACTCTTATCTCTAATTAACGAGCATGAAGCTGGAAATGAATGTGTGTGTCTCAAAGTGGAAGAGTGACACCGTTGAGGAAAAAAAAGCATCATATTGAATAAAACTACTAAATATGGCTTAATTTTTTAAAGGAAAAACCATAAATTAATGAACCTAATACCTTGATTTTCCGCCTTGGTTTGAGACGTACCACTCTTTCTATCTTGGTTTGCCTAAAACAGGAGCAGAGAAAAATGAAATTAAACCCTGAATACTATGTTTATGTCCCTCTCTCCCTGCCCTTAGATTCACAACCTCACACACACACACACACACACACACACACCTTTTCTGATAACTCAAGAAGCAGGGAAAGGAAAATGTGAAATCCTACAGGACCACAATAAAATGCAAGTATTAATGTTCCTGAGTCAAAGGGAAAACCCACAGTCTTCCATTAAGTAGGATTTACAGTAATTACCCAAGACAGACTAAGATGGGATTAGAGAACATGCAGAATGTCTGAGCATGGCCTGCTCTAGAGAGGGGCAGAGGTGGGGTGGGGGAGAGGAAGGGAACCAAAGTAAGCAGTCCACTGGGCTGTGACAAGGACAGATTGTGTCAGAAGCCCTGGTTCTGTTCTCTAGTTGTTCCCTTCCTCTCCCCTTTCCCCCTGCCCCCGTCCTCTCTCTGTCCCAAGTGCTTATTGGATAAATTAAATATATATATGTGTGTGTGTGCCAGTCCTGGGGCTTAAACTCAGAAGATGGGCAGTGTCCCTGAGCTTCTTTTGCTCAAAGCTAGCACTTGAACCACAGCTCCATTTTTGTGGGACTTTGTGTGTGTGTGTGTGTGTGTGTGTGTGTGTGTGTGTTCCTTTTTTTTTCTGAGGTAAGAGTCTCACTGGCTCTCCTTACCTGGGCTATCTTCCCACAGCAATCCTTAGAGCTCAGCTTCCTGAGTAGCTAGGATTATAGGCATGAGCTACCAGCACCCAGCATAAATATAGTTTTCTCCTTAGGTTTGAGGATTTTAGTATGGATACCAAAATGGCAGGGTTGCATATTAAAGAGCATAGTTAACACGGTACCTTGAGATGGATGTGGATACAGAAGGTTCAACTACAGCACCCCGAGGTTTGCAAGAGTGCCTTTCAGAATATTTTACATTATGAATGTTCAATGAGGACATGAGAAACTAACAGACTGATATTGCCTAGGGTTCAAGTTCATTTCTCTGCTCATTAAAGGGTAGGAAAGTGTTTAAAGAAGACAGAGCAGACTAACTTGAAAGCAAAAGAACAATGAAACAGATTCCTTGCACACGGAGGAGGGCCAGAACCAGGAGCCCAAAGTCTCTCTCTCAGGACCCGCTAGATACAGGGTCCCCTGTCCTCCTTCCCCTAGTGCCATGCTTCTGGTCTATTGGTTGAGGAGTGCACAGGTGCTGGTGATCCTGCTCCCTCCCTCCCTTCCTTCTGTGGTGCACAAGCGCAGAAGTTTCTCTGTGATTGGATGGACAGCTAGGGGGACAGTGTCGGACCATAACCATAAAGTGTGCCTGTGTGCCTCTAACCTGTTTGAACCACTTAGGTCACTGGCTTGAGCTTGTGGAAATCACTGCATTCAAGAGATTGTTTATTGTAAAACTTGTTCCAGGATATGCTCATACCATAAATAAGGCAATAGCATTGCAAGTTCTAAGTTCTCAATGACAAAGAATTTGTCCCGGCAGACAATGGCCATAGTGGTTCTTTCCATAGCCTGGTTATCCAGATGGCGAGTCTCTTAAACTCAGTGACAACTCCCATCTCTATCTGTATGCTCCTTCTAAGTACTACCTTCTACTCCTTCTACCGTCTAGCTACCTCCTCCTTCTTAATGCCTCTCTTCTGTTAAATGAAATCAATAGCAAGCTATGGAGCCAGGTGCCCCAAATCCTAGGTACTCAGGAGTCTGAGATCTGAGGATCACAGTTTGAAGCCAATCTAGGCAGGAAAGTCCATGAGACCCTTATCTCTCTCATCTTAACCACCAAATAGCTGGAGGTGGAGCTATGGTAGAGCACTAGCCTTGAGCAAAAAACGTCAGGGATAGAACCTAGGCCCTGAGTTCAAGCCCCAGTGTGCACGTACACACTCACACTCAGAAAATGTAATAGGCTGAACAACTGTGGCCCACACCTGTAACCCTATTTGAAAGGCTAAAATTGTTAGTATAATGATTTAAGACCAGCCCAGGCAGAAGAGTTCACAAGATACCATCTCAATGGAAGGCTAGATAGGATGGGGTGCTCTTGTGATACTAGTTACCGCTGGGTAGCCTAACATCAGTGAATCCTGCTCAAGCATGCAACTAAGCAGGAAGTGAGACCCCACCTCAAAAATAATCAGCATTCCCTCCCTACTACCCAGACATACCACTCCTGGGCTTCTAACCAGAACATCACAAGACAGAATGCCACAAAGACACTTGCACATCTATGTTCAGTGCTGCACTATTCACAATAGCCAAGTTATGGAAGCAGCCCAGATGCCCTACAATGGATGAGTGGATCCAAAACATCTAGAATCTATACACAATGGAGTTTTACATGGGCATTAGAAAGAATGGAATTATGTTATTTGCAGGGAAATGAATCAACCTAAACAAATAAGGTTAAATGAGGTAAGCAAAGCTGAGAGATACAAACAGCGTATGCTTTCTCTCATATGAGGAAGCTAGATCTAAAATATACCCTGACATGATAAATTATACAAGACTCTAGGCATTCACACATAGTGAGACCAAAGCAGGATACTCTTTGGAGAGGAACACAAAAGTGCAATGCCTATGTGCATCTGATCATATAAAATAATGTTTATTGAAATGACCTCCAGGGAATGGAAACAAGATATTTGTTTCTCTGTTGTTTTATTTTCTTTTTATCTTGTTTATCTGTCTTTAAGAGGATAAGAGAGGCACAGAAATTGAAGGACAAAGTGTGAACAAACGCAGTGAAGGTACTCACTAGACCCTATGTTGAAAATGAACTATACAACTTGTAAGTAGGGACAGGAGGGAAAAACTGGGGGAGAAAGCAAGGGAAAGGGTGACATTGTCCTAAAACAGATGTATTCTTTACCTGACTTTTGTAACTGTCACCCCTCTATACTTCACCTTTATAATAACAATTTAAAATTTAAAAAAATAAACCAGCAGTAAATAGGACTGGTAACATGGCTTAGTGACTCAGTGGTTAAAGTGTTTAGAAAGCCAAGTACCACAATTGAAATCCCAGTACCACAAGAAAGCAAACAACAGCAAAACAATGTCTCTACATTTACCTGTATAACTCTTGTCTCCTACATGTTGCAAACATGATCCGGGATGGGTAACTGAGCCACTTTCCTCATAGGCTTACTCTCACTGTCCTAAGGCTTACCTTGCCCATGCCTGGGCTCAGGGCCTCCCGTGGAGACAGGCGTCTCAGGCGTTTCCTCATGTGAGCAGGGCCTTCTCTCCAATCCAGTTCCCACTGGGCACGTGGCCTGGCTCCTGCCATCTGGCCCCATAAGCCCAGCTCCCCAAAGAGCTGTTCCTGAATCCTGGCCCAGGCACTGGCTGCCTTTAGGTGCCCACATCTTCGCCTCTGGGAAGCAGAAATACAACATTATCCTTGGGCACTTTTTCAAGTAGGCTCCAAATGAACAGGCCAAGTGCTCTGCGATTATTTAAGAAAGATTCCCCTCTGGGTATCCCCCAGGAACCCTCAGGATGTATACAGTGTCCCCTCTGGATCAGGAGCAGGCCAGAAGAAGCTGATCCCAGCCGCCAGACTGCTGGTGAGGGCAGAGAGCAACAGACCCTGAAAGTGTTGAAGCTAACCTGCTGAGTAGACAGATGTTTTGTACATGGACATGGAATTTCACCATGGCCCCTACTCTTCCACAATAATGCTGAACATACATCTTCTAGTGACCTGGACTGGAGGGAGAGTGGAATTAACAGCCCTGGCAAAGCTGGATGATCTGAGCAAGTCATTCCCATCTCTGACCTCATTTAACCTCCAGCTATTAAATGAGACAACTGGTCTGGATGATATCTCAGGGCCTTTCAGACCCTACTATCTTGTGGTTGTGTGTTTGAGTGTGTGTGTGTGTGTCAGTATACGGGTACAATGCATCTTGATCAATGTCACCCCTTTCATCCTCCCCACCAACCCCACCCATCTCCTCAACTTATCTGATTGCACTTTCACATATGCATATTGTATTATGACTATATTTACCCATCCTTTTTTCCATTCATCTGTTTCTCTCCCCTGGACCTCTCCCTCTCCTTGTATATTCCAGATTCCTGGTATTCATTTTGTTAAGCTGTGTAAATTAGTGGTTTGAAGCCGTTAAACAATGTTAATCCACGCTTCAGTCAATATGTTGGTGTATAGATGCATATGGCCCTCTCTTGTTTCATATATGTTCATAGTTTAGGTCTAACCTCCACATGTGAAAGAAAGCCTGTGTACTTGTTGAATGTCCAAACATTCGAGAAGGTTCACATAAAGTAAAACTTTCTGTGTTAACGATGATCATCCCATCAGTTATTTATGAAATTCTATTTGGTTTTACGGTCTCGGATTGTCTTCTACTCTAGTACCATTTAAGGATAAAAGGGGCCAAATATGCTGAAATAGATCATTTGTAATTATGAAAAAACACAAGGGAATCTGTTGGGGATACTTATTTGGGGGAGGGAAAGGGGTCAGGCGTGTGAGATAAGGGGTGATTGATTGGAATACAGTGTATATATGTGTAGAGATGTAACAATGAAATCCCCCCTAATATAAGCTAATAAACATTATATACTATGTTATATATAATACATGTAATATCTATAATACATGTATGTTACATATGTTATATATTACACCCTACACTGCTGTTATGTCTATTGTATAATACTTGTATATTATATATGTTATAAAATACACCCTACACTGCTGGTATAGGCCACCCTGAGGTTGCATACATCACCATGTCAGTGAAGTATCATCATCAGGTCTGGACAATTGAATCGATGCTGTAATAACTGACATCAGTACTGACAATTACCGCCAGCAGAGGCACACATCAGGCCAAGCTCCTCACCTGCTTCATCTCATTGTTCTCTACTCCTTGGGCACCATGAGTAAAACTTTTCCATCATCCCCAGGAAGATACAGGCCTACTCAGGAGAAGTGGCTTCTCCAGGGGCTAGGAGCAGTCACACTGAGACTTAACTACTCAAGTGGTAGAGTGCTAGCCTTGAGATAAAACAAACAAAAACTCAGAGACAGTACCCAAACCCTTAGTCTGAGCCCCAAGACCTGGCACAGGAAAAAAAAAAAAATAGGGTGAATGCTCAAGATCCCATTATCTTCAGCAAAGGGTGATTACATCTGCATTCTTTTAAATATCAAAAGAGTGTCTTAAATATTTAAAAACTTGGAAAGTATTCTCATGGATTAGTTTGAAAAATGCTGATTTTTCTCAAAAATACCTAATCAATGGTAAAATTACACAAACTTCTCAAACTCTCCTAACCTCAGTCAGGCCCTGTTGATGACAATGGCCCAGGCTTACATTTCAGGAGACGGGTCAGATCCCACCTTTCTGGGCTCAGTGGGTCCCTGCTGTCCTTCCTACAGAAGCCTGGCAGACCAGGCAGAAACCCACAGAGTTCCCCCAGCACACCTTCCTTCCACTCTTACAAAAGAAATGGCAAGTTCTTGATGAGATGCGAATCAGCGTTTAATAAACAAACTCCTCTCCCTCTGCTGCAACTGATAATACACTGACTCATGTGGGGACTGGCCTGAGAGGCCTGTCCAGCAGGCACATAACTGTACCATGCCTTCCAGGCCCTGAGGACATCAGTGCTGGGATACCTGGGCACCCGCAGTAAAGGCCCAGGGCAAGGGGTGGGGGGGGAGAGGGGGGAACCAGACCTGCTGGCTGATCCCTGGGACAGCCACCACAGGGCACACCCCACTGCCCCTATCAGGATAGGGGAAGGCTGGTACAGGCCCCACATCCCAGGAACCCCTAATCCCAGTAAGCATGCTCTAAAGTATGCTTCAACAGATGGAATACGATCTGGAGAGCAGTGCCTCTCAGGACTATTGCCCCTGGCACCACACCCCATCTCCCTTCATAGGTACACCAATGGTTCCCTCCATTTCACCAGTCCTCAACCCCCACAGGTAGTAATGGTTCTTTCCACCCCGCCAAGCCTCACCCCCCATAGGTATGCTAATTGGTTCCTTCCAACCCTCCAAGCCTCCATAAGTTTGCTAATGTTTCCTCCTCCTCTCCCCGGTTTGGTGCCAACTCCTGTCCTGTGGATACCTCTTCACCTAAACCTCTACTAAGTTGTAAACCCCTTCAAGGCAAAGCAGTAGCATAATTACTGCATTTTCTACACCTTGCATAGGCTTAGGAATACAAATAAATAATACAAACCATAAGGTTTTAATACCACAAGTCATATTTTCTAGTGATTAATCTCCTTGAAATTTTTATCAATAACACTAGTATATAACCACATACAGGATATCTATTGTCTACTGCCACTGTCCTAGCCAGCTGCTTTCACATGGGCTACTATTTAATATTTACAGTTTAGAAATGCTCTGCTGTTTAAAAAGGGAAGAGGGGAGGGGAGGAGGAGAAGGAGAGGAGGGGGAGGAAGAAGAGAAGAAGGAGAAGAAAGAGGAGGAGGAAGAGAAAGAGGAAGGAGGGAGAAGAAGTAAAAGTAGGAGACGGAAAGAAGGAAGGAAGGAAGGAAGGAAGGAAGGAAGGAAGGAAGGAAGGAAGGAAGGAAGGGAGGGAGGGAGGGAGGGAGGAAGGGAGGGAGGGGGGAGGAAAGGAGGGAAGGGAGGGAAGGGAGGGGAGGGAGGGAAGGGGGGAAGGGAAGGAAGGGAGGGAAGGGAGGGACCGAGGGGCAGGCCAGGAAAGGCAGCCCTTGGGGTTCCAATAGGGCTCTGACTGTCCTAATCATCCCTGGTGTTAACCCTGAAGGAGTCAAGCCTACAAAGGTGCTGTAAAGACCTGAATTTGCCCTTACCAGGTTGCCCTTATCAATCCACGGCACTTAGGATAAAAAGCAAAAACTCTAATTGAGCACAAGCCCAGTGGCTTGGCCCTGCTTCATCCTTACCCTGTGTCTCCCAGCTCAAGACTCCTAACCATTTTTTCCTTTTAGTAATCACTGACATCCAACTTTTTCCTGCCTCAGGACCTTCACACAGGCCCTCTCCCTAGCTCAAACACTGCTCCCTGTAGGATTTCAACCCATACTCTCCCTCCTGCAGTTTTTAGTTTAAAAAGTCATTTCCTTGACCCATGCAAACGAAATCCAATCCCCCTCATAAACATTCCTTGTATTCACATATTATCTATTAGGTTGTGAAGTTATTTAATGTATGTAATATCTTAGTTACTATTCACTGGCAGAAATTTCCTCCTATTGTCTGGCCTCAGTCTCTCCTGCTGTTGGAAATTTACTCTCTCCCCTAAATCCCCTTTTTCCTGGGAAAAGAATATCAATGGGAACAAAACTGTGAAATAAAAAAAAAAACAGAACAAAATTATTGATAAAGGGCAAAAACCTCTTGGTAAAGGTGGACCAGTAGTCAGCCTATGTCCCTTCTCCATCCTTGCTAAAAAGCAAAAGAACATCTCTCCCTCACTCAAGTTTACCAGGCTGTCAGCTTTGCAGAAGGCTACTGACCACCGTGAGGCTTATCACCAGCTGCACTGAGTTGCTGTGTTAGTCAGGAGCTTATAATAAAAATCATTTCTGTAGTAGTGTCAATAGCATTGATAGTAATGGTCACGCTGACCAAGTCAAGCTTATGTTCTGCCTACGCTCTTGTGACTCAAGGCTATGTTTTTGCTATGTTTTGCTTCTGTAACCTTACTTGCTTGCCTCAGTAACAGGGCCTTAGGCCCAACAATTGAAGACCACCATTGAATGGTTCCACTATGGGCAGCCAATTGCAAATTATTATGTATGATATTTACCATAAAGAACAAATGAATTTAAAGGTCATATAACTATAACCAATGAAAATGAGCCAAACCTGCCTGGCATGGCTTGTCTATGTAATTCTTTGTAATCTATCCCTATAAAAACCCATCCTGCCCTGAGCTCGGGGCCATTCTCCTACTTTCCCAGTAGTAGGAAATGGTCCCCACATGGTGGTAATAAAGTTCCTAGCCCTTTTAACTGGGTGTCCTGGAGTCTCTTTTGGATCTGGGATATAATAATGTATATCCACATTTTATAGTGGGGCTGAGACCAAAGCCCAAGCCTGTGTGCTTGCTATGATAGTGAGGCAGAGCAGGCTAGAGAAAATGAAGCACTGAATCTATTGAGGATTCTATTAGAAACACAGAAGTGTTATCTTCTTTGCTTTAACCCTTACACTTCTTCATAAGCTGAAGTATTGGTACAAAGGAAAACGAAAAGACTAAGAGCAGCTTTCTCCATCTGACCTTGCCTTCTGGCCCAAAATAATGAGTATACTCTAAAACCTGAGCAGGGATATCACAAAGAAAGATGTGTGGTAATGAGGAATCAAATCCAGAGCCTCATGCATTCTAGGCAAGCACTCTACCACTAAGCCATGTTCCAATCCAGTAATCTCACCCCTGGGCATTTACCCAAACCATCACAAACAAGACCACACTAAAACTACCAGCACAACCATGTTCACTGCAGCATTATTTACCATAGCTAAGATATGGAACCAATCCAATGCCTCTCAGTAGATGAATAGAACAAGAAAAAGTGATACACACACACACACACACACAAAATGGAATTCTATGCTTCCATCAGAAAGAATGACATCACTTCATTTATAAGGAAATGGAAAGACTTGGAAAAAATCATATTAAGTGAAGTAGGCCATACCCAAAGACACATAGGCTCCATGGTTTCCCTCATTTGTAATAATTAGTATATATCTAGTATAGTCTTAGAAAAGGATCTCAATAGCTTAATAGCTATGTATATATAGCCATATAAAATGATGTTAATTGAAATGAACTCCAAGATATAAAAACAAGATTCTTTTGATGTTTGTTTTTAATGTACTGTGTGAAGTCATTTCTTTCTTTCTTTCTTTCTTTTTCCCTTTGGTTTATGCCCTGTTGTCACTGTTTGTTTGTTTTTTAATTTTTGGTACCCTGTATCTTGTATATACATTTATCTGATTTGGAAAAGGGAAGGAGAATAACAAACTGGTGCGACAAAGGATAAAGAGTGAACCAATGCAACAGTGATACTCACGACAATATGTTGGAAATGAATTTTACAACTTGGGGGAGGGGAGTCAAGTTAGAGGGAAAGTGGGAAAGAACAAGGGAGAAGGTAACACTGTTTGACAAGAAATATACTCATTACCTTACTTGTGCAACTGTAACCCCTCTGTACATCACCTTTACAATTAAATTAAATGTTTTAAAAAGAAGAAAGACATGTATCCTGGAGAAGCAAATACTTGGGAAAATAACTCCTCCTGACACAAGTGTTCATCTCAAGGATGGACCTGTATCTTGAAAGATGTATGGGAGAACATATCCTTTCTTTGAAGGGAGGCCCAAACATAATGATCAAAGTTTAATGAGCATGTCAGTCTTAAGAGACTCTGAGCCCAGTGATAAAATAACACAGAGAGATTCTATGTGCCAGGTATGAGAACAAACAGAAACACTTACCCTAGAACAACTTTAAGTCCAACCCTGCCTTTATCACAAATGTCCGCCATGTTAAAGTGCTCAGGTGTCTCCCCTTTGAGCACCTGCGCTCCCTGTTAGAGTGGGCCTCTGTTTCTCTGCTTCTCTCTTGTCTGCTTGCTCAACAGTCTGCCAAGTTATCCTACCACTGTCACTTGTCCTGAAGTTCTTATTCTGTGATCAAAGTCAAGGACCTGGGACTAAAACTGTAAGTGTAGGATCCCTACTGCTAGAGGAAAACTTTGCAAACCCTACCTGGAAGTGATGACAGCCCCAGCAGGGTCCAAGGCACCAAGGGCTCTCCTGGTGGAGGAAGATGATCAGGGCTGCAGTCCTGTATCCTCAGCTGCTGATTTATGAGCACTAAGCCCTTGAGTCAACTTCATAGACCACTGGTGACCACTTATCGACTTACACAATGTAAAACCTGAACCCAAGGCCCTTCTAATTTTTCTATTTGATTCATGGTGGACATGGAGAAAAGAGACTCTCTTTGTTTCTTACCTGGACATGGTCTTTATATAAAGAGGCATAGAACTCCTGTCCTCTTCGTCGGTAGTTCTCTATACAGGATACAAAATCCTGGAGAGACAAAGCAAACCACATCTCAGTGCTACCTGTGAGATTAGCTAAGTACGTCTCCATTCTGACCAGTTGCCAGGGGAACATGGTTAAATCAGTTGCAGTCTCATGAATGAGGGTTCAGCCTGTGGGGATCTGTCACACACTAACATGTTCACTAGCATAGGTTACCTTCTCTTCCTCTAGAAATGGGCCCAGCCTTCCTTCCTCCCAAAAATAAATCCAAAAAGACAACTGTTGAATAACCAGCCTTAATAAAGCATAGAGCCACCCAGAGCTGGTAAGACTTGCAGAGCCAAGATTCTAGAAAGAAAACTTATTACTTAAAGACAATAAAAATATATTTTAAAAAGATAAAATCAATTCACCTTTGTTGAATAGTAACTCCTTTGTACAACTATTTAAAATAATAAAACACATTTTTAATTAAAAAATAGGGCTGGAAATGTGTCTTAGTGGTAGAGTGCTTGCCTAGCATGCATGAAGCCTTGGCTTTGATTCCTCAGTACCACATCAACAGAAAAAGCCAGAAGTTGTGCTGTGGCTCAAGTGGTAGAGTGCTAGCCTTGAGCAAAAGAAGCTCAGAGATAGTGCCCAGGCCCTGAGTTCAAGCCCCAGGACTGGCAAAAAAACAAACAAAAAAAGTTGGGTGCTGGTGGCTCACACCTGTAATCCTAGCTACGTAGGAGCCTGAGATCTAAGAATCATAGTTCAAAGCTGGCTAAGGCAGGAAACTTTGTGAGTTCTTATCTTTTTTTTTTTTGGCGGGGGGGGGGGGGGGGGGGGGCGGATCCAGTCGTGGGGCCTGAACTCTGGGCCTGGGCGCTGTCCCTCAGCTTTTCAGCTGTGGCTCAAGTGGTAGAACACTACCCTTGAGCACAAGCTCAAGGACAGTGCCCAGGCACTGAGTTCAAAGTCCCAGGACCAACACACACACACACACACACACACACACACACAGAGTGAAATGGTGGCTGCTTTTCTTTTAAAACAAGGAACAAAGAAGGATTCTTTCACTGTTCCCATTCTCCATACAAGTTCTATCCAGTGTAATAACACAAGCAAAGGAAATAAAACTTATTCAGGTTGAAAAGAGTTAGACACTCTGTGAGTTCCCAAGGTAAATACCAAACAAACAAATAAATCCTAAAACTTAATAAGGCCATAAGATACACTATCAACAAAAACATACCAATTATTTTTCAAAATAATGACAATGTATGCTAAATTAAAAAGCACAATATTATTTAAATATCCCAGATACTTAGATGCAAATCTAACAGAACACAAATAGGACTGATATGCTGTAAAATACAAAATGTAGATGAAAAAAGTCAAAGACTAAATACAAGAAGGGTATACCATGTTCAAGAATTGGGAGGCTCAACACTGAATATCATTTCTTCCCAAATAAAAGGTATAATTCCAATCAAAATCCAAGCAAGTTTCCATGTAAAGATAAGATTGTTTTTAAAAATCATATTAAAGGGGCTGGGAAGGTGGCTCAGTGGTAGAGCACTTGCTTTGCATGCCTGAGGCCCTGGGTTCGATTCCTCAGCACCACATAAGCAAAAAGAAAAAAGCTGGAAGTGGCACTGTGGCTCAAGTGGTAGAGCGCTAGCCTTGAGCTGAAGAGCTGAGGGACAGCGCCCAGGCCCAGAGTTCAGGCCCCACGACCGGACCCCCCCAAAAAATCATATTAAATAGCAAAGGAATAAGAAAAGCAGAAACAATTTTGAAAGTTACAGCTAAAATGAGAAGAATTGTTTTCACATATTTCAATATCATACGGTTATAGTAATGAACAATGTATATGACTACAAAAAAACAGGAAAGAAACAAAGAAGGAAGGAAGGAAGGAAGGAAGAAGGAGAGAAAGCAAAAAGTAAGCTATCTAAAATATAGCTTTTGAAACTTCATCAGAAATCTTTACATTTCTTGGTTAGAAATGTATATATCCATATCTATTTTACTTTACTGATTTGCATATTTGCTCTTTTTACAGTCACATACATCTACCTGTAAAGTGCCATAATTTTGTTCTTTCTCATGGCTGAATAATACTCCACTGTGAATATGAATACCACATTAAAAAAATCCATTCATCAGTTGTAGGGCAACTGGGCTATTCCCATAGCTTGGAGATTATAAACAGTGCTGTAATTATCATAAATGCCTCTACTGTATTCTGACTTCCACTCCTTACATCTATTCCCCAAAGTGATATGACCAGATCATATGGTAGTTTTATTTTTAGTTTTTGAGGTTATTCCATACTAATTTCCACAGAGGCTGCACTAATTTATATCCCCACCAACAGTGTATAAAGGTTCCTTTTCCCCAGCATTCTTGTCAGCGTTTCTCATTTGTAGTTAGCCCTTGTACTATTAGTTAATGCGCTAATAACAATAAAAGAATGTCCTTGATGAAAAAGTACAAACTGTTGTTTTTCTTAAGTATCAACTCCTGAAGGTACTTCTTCTAAAAGTCTGTGTGATAAAATGGGAAGTTTGCAAAAAGCACTCTTTTCTTATGGTGCTGGTCCTGAACTCAGGGCCTACCTGCTGTCCCTCGGTTTTTTTGCTCAAGACAAGTGCTCTACTACATGAGCCACAGCTCCACTTCGAGCTTTGTGATGCTTAATTGGAGATAAGAGTCTCACAGACTTTCCTGCCTGGGCTGGCTTCAAGCCATAATCCTCAGATCCTAGTCTCCTGAGTGGCTAGGATTACAGATTTAACGGCACTCTTGAATAAATAAACAAATAAATAAAATGTGACAGCTCTTTCAAGCAAGTGCTCTTGTGTAATTGGTACACATACAAACTGAGCCAACAGCTTCTGTTACAGAAGATCATTTTTATTTGAAAGAACAAAATAGATGGACAGACAAAATTATGGTCAAGAACAGTTGATTACCGAGTAGATACAGTCTCAAAAAGTGAACCAACAGAGTCTGCTATCTCAAATAAAATAAGTGATGGCATCTGCTGCCCAAAAGTGATCACACTTGAGCTTTCAAGCAAACACATTGAATTGTTGAAAACTTGTGTGTTTCTGTGAGCTTTGGCAATTTCCCATTTGTTAAGATTTCTCTGATAAGATCTGGGGCATAATATTCCATCTTGCATAATGACAGGTGTGAACAATTGGGAGCTCTGTGGAATGCAGAAATCTGGTATTCCTAATACATGACACAAAAACCTGCATGGGTTCAAATGTCTATCCCAAGTGCAAGGCAAGCCAGAACAGCAGCATGTCACATACTAAAAGAATTCCACTGATAAAGAGTACAAAAATGTTCTTTAAGAAATCACTAATTACCCAGGCACCCATGGCTCATGCATGTAATCCTAGCTACTCAGGAGGTTGAGATCTGAGATCAAAGCCAGCCTGAGCAGGAAAGTCTATGATACACTTATCTCCACTACATTACTCAGAAAAACCCAGAAGTGCCACTGGGGTTCAAAGTGGTAGAGCATTCAGCACAAATTGGCTCATGGACAGTGCCCAGGCCCTGAGTTCTAACTCCAGGACCAGCAGGGAGGCAGGGGAACAATTCAATAAAGCATCAAATCATATCAGTCTTTTCACAATCCTTTTTTAAAATATATAGTCAATTCTCTTATAACATCTTTACCAAGAAGCATTATACTCATAACCTGACCTATGGAATTGTCACTCCTCTGTACAACTACTTAATAATAATAAAGAAAAAAATCTTTAAATGATTAATCAAATTAAAATTCTGTTTCAATCCCTTTTATGGTAAATATCAGTAGACATAACCTTCATAAACAAAAGCTCTTGGGATTGCTCAGTAATTTTTAAGAGGGTAAAAAGGTCTTCAAGCAAAATAGTTTACAATTATTCTTTGAATAAATTACTACTTCATACAATGACTTCAACACATCTTTTCCTTTTTACAAGAACTGGAATTTGAACTCAGAGCCTCATACTTTCTAAAACTTTATTCTGCACACTGTGACTTAGAATATTTTCCCTCTGTATATTTCAAAAAATACAAAAGTGTTTATTGGCAAAGACTAAAAAATATGAAAACAATATAATTTTTAAAATCTAGTTCCTGTTTGGGAGTTATGAGAATAGGATGATTTTTTTCTTTCCTTTTTGGTTTCATTTGCAAAAGTTTCTTCAATATTGCTTTTGCATTGTTCACACACATTTATAAGTAAAGCAATCATTAAGAGGATCACAAGTGACATAAAATGCTGAAAAATTTGACTAATTCTCATCGCAGGCAGAAGCCCAGACTTGTTTTGAATATGAGGCTTTGGAGACAGGAAGCAGGAGGAGAAAGCTCTTGGGAAGAGGAGTTGGGCCACAAAGCAGCTGCCTTAGAAGAAAGCAAATGTGCTGTCTTGCCACGGAGGGAGGGATGGGCCTTGCCTGATGGCTTCAGGGCCTCAGTGGGCCCAGAGCAGGGAGCTAGGGCAGGCTGACTTCAGCATGAGCTCAGGAAAGATGGTCCCATTGTTCCAGTGCTGAGAATGAAAGGCAGGAAGGTAGAAAGTAGAGAAGTGAGACCACATTGGTTCTTGGCCACTTTACATGGGCAAATCATTTAATCTTTCAAGGATTTAATTTATCATCTTTCAAATGAGGCTACTAGTATCTCCTTTCTCTCTCTGCAGGAAAGTCCGTGAAACTCTTGTCTCCATTCAAAAAGCCAGAAGTAGAGGCGCTGGCCTTCAGTGAAAAATCTAAGGCATAATGTCCAGTCCCTGAGTTCAACCCTACTACAAGCACACACACACACACACACACACACACACACACACACACACACACACACACAGCAGTCAATTTTGGGATATCAGGAGGGAAAATTGATCAAGGTCATGTTCATGGGTTTACCTAAGCATACAGAAAACACAGTTAATTGTGATACCACTGGTCTCTTCTCTTAACCTTATTTTCAATTAACTAACGTATCTGATCTCAGCTTCCTGAGTAGCTAGTATTACAGGCACGAGCCAC